TACATACTGATATACACCTGATCATCAGCAGGAGAGGACTCTTTAAATTAGAGACACTACATACTGATATACACCTGAACATCAGCAGGAGAGGACTCTTTAAATTAGAGACACTACATACTGATATACACCTGAACATCAGCAGGAGAGGACTCTTTAAAGTAGAGACACTACATACTGATATACACCTGAACATCAGCAGGAGAGGACTCTTTAAAGTAGAGACACTACATACTGATATACACCTGAACATCAGCAGGAGAGGACTCTTTAAAGTAGAGACACTACATACTGATATACACCTGAACATCAGCAGGAGAGGACTCTTTAAAGTAGAGACACTACATACTGATATACACCTGAACATCAGCAGGAAGGGACTCTTTAAAGTAGAGACACTACATACTGATATACACCTGAACATCAGCAGGAGAGGACTCTTTAAAGTAGAGACACTACATACTGATATACACCTGAACATCAGCAGGAGAGGACTCTTTAAAGTAGAGACACTACATACTGATATACACCTGAACACCAGCAGGAGAGTACTCTTTAAAGTAGAGACACTACATACTGATATACACCTGAACATCAGCAGGAGAGGACTCTTTAAAGTAGAGACACTACATACTGATATACACCTGATCATCAGCAGGAGAGGACTCTTTAAAGTAGAGACTCTACATACTGATATACACCTGAACATCAGCAGGAGAGGACTCTTTAAAGTAGAGACACTACATACTGATATACACCTGAACATCAGCAGGAGAGGACTCTTTAAAGTAGAGACACTACATACTGATATACACCTGAACATCAGCAGGAGAGGACTCTTTAAAGTAGAGACACTACATACTGATATACACCTGAACACCAGCAGGAGAGTACTCTTTAAAGTAGAGACACTACATACTGATATACACCTGAACATCAGCAGGAGAGGACTCTTTAAAGTAGAGACACTACATACTGATATACACCTGAACATCAGCAGGAGAGGACTCTTTAAAGCTCACATCTGTAAATCCTCAGTGCGTGAGGGGGGGCGGGTCATCCTGTTTCTGAAGCAGAGATTTCTGAGCGGTGATTCAGCCGACGTGTTGAAACTCGCTTTAAAGAGTTCACTTCAGCACAAACCCCCCCGCAGGCTGGCAAAAACAGGGGAACTAAGAGGAGATGAATTACAGATAATAAGACGGGTTGAGTCACACACACCACACACACACACACACACACACACACACACACCACACCATATAAAACATCCATCATTAAATAGGAGTCTAACAAAGGCTGCCGCGGGGGCGAAACCATCGAAACAAAACTTTAATTCATCTGGGTTTAAACGTTTCTGTAGAAGTAACGCGAGGGCAAGTCCACACATATATACACACACATAACACATACACACACATAACACACACACACACATACACACACACTCTTGTGAAATAGCGGAGACGTCCTTAATGGACTTTCAGGAAGCGATTAGAGGAACTATCTGACCTGCAGGACACTCGGAGTTGTTCATGGAATCATGTGCAGATTATCATCGGAGGATAAAGACAGTTAGCCGATAAGGCCGTGTGATTGGCTCTCAGGGAATCAGATATTAACCAAACAGAAAACTGTGAACGATAATGATACCAAGATTAACTTGAATTAACTTTTAGATTTCGTAAAATTAAACACAGCTCTTTCATTCAATCACATATTTTACAGATATATATATTGTCTTTTAATTTATGCATTTCTTTTTAGAATCTGGATTTTGATCCTGATTGAAAAAAACATGACACTTTTTATATTTTTGAACATTTTTCACTTTTTGTTGTTGATTTATTTAATAGTTTTATTCAGTCCTGCGTTACTCTGTTTATTACCTGTGAAGACCCCCTGTGACCAGTAGATCAAAGTGTGTGTGTGTGTGTGTGTGTGTGTGTGTGTGTGTGTGTGTGTGTGTGTGTGTGTGTGGTGTGTGTGTGTGTGTGGTGTGTGTGTGTGTGTGTGTGTGTGTGTGTGTGTGTGTGTGTGTGTGTGTGTGTGTGTGTGTGTGTGTGTGTGTGTGTGTGTGTGTGTGTGTGTGTGTGTGGTGTGTGTGTGTGTGTGTTGTGTGTGTGTGTGTGTGTGTGTGTGTGGTGTGTGTGGTGTGTGGTGTGTGTGTGTGTGTGTGTGTGTGTGTGTGTGGGAGAGAATGAATCCTCTCTTATCTAATCTGTGTGATTAGAAAACGCTTGTTGGCAGTCGACAGTCTTAAAGGTTCCTGCAGCCCCTCTGATAGCGGGGGGTGGGGGGGTCAAAGGTCGGTCCGGCCTTCTCCCCCTGATAATGAAGAGCCTCGTTATCTACCTGCAGACTTCAAGTGAACTTCTAACGCTGCAGCAGATAAACACCTCCATCAAACACGTGTTCACGAGCTGCACGTGTTGACCAGCTGTCAATCAAAGATATATCAAATATTAAAGTGTCTCTACTTTAACGAGTCCTCTCCTGCTCATGTTCAGGTGTATATCAGTATGTAGTGTCTCTACTTTAAAGAGTCCTCTCCTGCTCATGTTCAGGTGTATATCAGTATGTAGTGTCTCTACTTTAAAGAGTCCTCTCCTGCTCATGTTCAGGTGTATATCAGTATGTAGTGTCTCTACTTTAAAGAGTCCTCTCCTGCTGATGTTCAGGTGTATATCAGTATGTAGTGTCTCTACTTTAAAGAGTACTCTCCTGCTGATGTTCAGGTGTATATCAGTATGTAGTGTCTCTACTTTAAAGAGTCCTCTCCTGCTGATGTTCAGGTGTATATCAGTATGTAGAGTCTCTACTTTAAAGAGTCCTCTCCTGCTCATGTTCAGGTGTATATCAGTATGTAGTGTCTCTACTTTAAAGAGTCCTCTCCTGCTCATGTTCAGGTGTATATCAGTATGTAGTGTCTCTACTTTAAAGAGTCCTCTCCTGCTGATGTTCAGGTGTATATCAGTATGTAGTGTCTCTGCTTTAAAGAGTCCTCTCCTGCTGATGTTCAGGTGTATATCAGTATGTAGTGTCTCTGCTTTAAAGAGTCCTCTCCTGCTAGTGCTCAGGTGTATATCAGTATGTAGTGTCTCTACTTTAAAGAGTCCTCTCCTGCTGATGTTCAGGTGTATATCAGTATGTAGTGTCTCTGCTTTAAAGAGTCCTCTCCTGCTGATGTTCAGGTGTATATCAGTATGTAGTGTCTCTACTTTAAAGAGTCCTCTCCTGCTGATGTTCAGGTGTATATCAGTATGTAGTGTCTCTACTTTAAAGAGTCCTCTCCTGCTGGTGTTCAGGTGTATATCAGTATGTAGTGTCTCTACTTTAAAGAGTCCTCTCCTGCTGATGTTCAGGTGTATATCAGTATGTAGTGTCTCTACTTTAAAGAGTCCTCTCCTGCTGATGTTCAGGTGTATATCAGTATGTAGTGTCTCTGCTTTAAAGAGTCCTCTCCTGCTGATGTCCAGGTGTATATCAGTATGTAGTGTCTCTACTTTAAAGAGTCCTCACCTGCTGATGTTCAGGTGTATATCAGTATGTAGTGTCTCTGCTTTAAAGAGTCCTCTCCTGCTAGTGCTCAGGTGTATATCTTGTTCAGGTGTATATCAGTATGTAGTGTCTCTACTTTAAAGAGTTCTCTCCTGCTGATGTTCAGGTGTATATCAGTATGTAGTGTCTCTACTTTAAAGAGTCCTCACCTGCTGATGTTCAGGTGTATATCAGTATGTAGTGTCTCTGCTTTAAAGAGTCCTCTCCTGCTAGTGCTCAGGTGTATATCTTGTTCAGGTGTATATCAGTATGTAGTGTCTCTACTTTAAAGAGTTCTCTCCTGCTGATGTTCAGGTGTATATCAGTATGTAGTGTCTCTACTTTAAAGAGTCCTCTCCTGCTGATGATCAGGTGTATATCAGTATGTAGTGTCTCTGCTTTAAAGAGTCCTCTCCTGCTGATGATCAGGTGTATATCAGTATGTAGTGTCTCTACTTTAAAGAGTCCTCTCCTGCTGATGTTCAGGTGTATATCAGTATGTAGTGTCTCTACTTTAAAGAGTCCTCTCCTCTGGTGTTCAGGTGTATATCAGTATGTAGTGTCTCTACTTTAAAGAGTCCTCTCCTGCTGATGTTCAGGTGTATATCAGTATGTAGTGTCTCTACTTTAAAGAGTCCTCTCCTGCTGATGATCAGGTGTATATCAGTATGTAATGTCTCTACTTTAAAGAGTCCTCTCCTGCTGATGATCAGGTGTATATCAGTATGTAGTGTCTCTACTTTAAAGAGTCCTCTCCTGCTGATGTTCAGGTGTTTATCACTATGTAGTGTCTCTACTTTAAAGAGTCCTCTCCTGCTGGTGTTCAGGTGTATATCAGTATGTAGTGTCTCTACTTTAAAGAGTCCTCTCCTGCTGATGTTCAGGTGTATATCAGTATGTAGTGTCTCTACTTTAAAGAGTCCTCTCCTGCTGATGTTCAGGTGTATATCAGTATGTAGTGTCTCTACTTTAAAGAGTCCTCTCCTGCTGATGTTCAGGTGTATATCAGTATGTAGTGTCTCTACTTTAAAGAGTCCTCTCCTGCTGATGTTCAGGTGTATATCAGTATGTAGTGTCTCTACTTTAAAGAGTCATCTCCTGCTGATGTTCAGGTGTATATCAGTATGTAGTGTCTCTACTTTAAAGAGTCCTCTCCTGCTGATGTTCAGGTGTATATCAGTATGTAGTGTCTCTACTTTAAAGAGTCCTCTCCTGCTGATGTTCAGGTGTATATCAGTATGTAGTGTCTCTACTTTAAAGAGTCCTCTCCTGCTGATGTTCAGGTGTATATCAGTATGTAGTGACTCTACTTTAAAGAGTGTCTCTAAAGGTTATAAAGGACCTTCAGCATGGTCACATGACTTCACCACCGCTAAGCTAAAGTAAAGACGGGGAATGTTTTTTGTGTGTCTGTCGATGCTTTTACTTTGGTAAGAGAGTCACTTCCTGTGTATCTGCAGGTCACTTCCCCAACAAGGCGATGCCGTCAGCCGGCACGTTGCCATGGTTACAGGGAATCCTCTGCAACGCCAACAACCCGTGTTTCAGGAGCCCGACGCCTGGAGAGAGTCCGGGGGTCGTGGGCAACTTCAACGACTCCATGTAAGGCTCTTATTCTGAAAATCCAATCTGTATTCATCTAGAAAACGATAAAAGAGTAAAGATTACCCTTTGACTTAAAACACACTAGACTTTTATTCTGAAAAATATTAATTTAGAAAGATGAACCTTCTTTAAACATCAGCTGCTTACATTTACAGACTTTTATTCTGAAAATCAGCTTGAATTAAGTTAACGATGAAAGAGTAAAGCTGACCCTTCATTTCGACTTGAAGACGAACTATATATTACATAGACTTTTATTCTGAAAGTCTGATTTGATCTTAAATGTTACAGTAAAGTCGTTTTTTAAAGATGGACTCTCTCTGAACTTCAACAGATTTATTCAAACTGTGGTTCTTCAAACTTCAGCTGCTTACATTTGACAGACTTTTATTCTGAAAATAAGCTTCAATTTAGAAAGATGAACTTTCTTTCTTACATTTGACAGACTTTTATTCTGAAAATCCAAACGTCCGTCAGTTCTCTTATTCTTTATGATATCTGACTTTATAACGTGGTGTTTTATTGAACTCTGACCTCTGCTCCAGAATCTCCCGCTTGTTCTCCGACGCCAAGAAGATTCTGCTCTACAGCCAGAACGACAAGAACCTGGAGGGCTTCAAAGAACTGGCCCACGCTCTGAAGGAGCTGCAGGAGAGCCGCTCAGGTACCAGAACCTCTCACAGAACCACAACCTCTAACAGAACCTCTAACAGAACCACAACCTCTAACAGAACCTCTAACAGAACCACAACCTCTAACAGAACCACAACCTCTAACAGAACCTCTAACAGAACCACAACCTCTAACAGAACCACAACATCTAACAGAACCTTTAACAGAACCACAACCTCTAACAGAACCACAACCTCTAACAGAACCTTTAACAGAACCACAACCTCTAACAGAACCACAACCTCTAACAGAACCACAACCTCTAACATAACCTTTAACAGAACCACAACCTCTAACAGAACCACAACCTCTAACAGAACCTCTAACAGAACCACAACCTCTAACAGAACCACAACCTCTAACAGAACCACAACCTCTAACAGAACCTCTAACAGAACCACAACCTCTAACAGAACCACAACCTCTAACAGAACCTCTAACAGAACCACAACCTCTAACAGAACCTCAAACAGAACCACAACCTCTAACAGAACCTCTAACATAACCACAACCTCTAACAAAACCACAACCTCTAACAGAACCAGAACCACTGACACAACCAGGACCAGAACCTCTATCAGAGCCACAACCACTAAACAGAACCAGAACCACTAACACAACCAGAACCAGGACCAGAACCTGGTCTCTATGAGGTCCTGATTTAGAACCAGGTTCAGGTGTCTCTCAGGTTCTGGTTATTCAGCTTCACTGCACTCTGAGAATTTGCTCCTTTGTGTTTTTAATTTGCACTCTGCTCCTTAATCTCTGCCACAAAGAGGGGGGGGGCTGGGGGGGCGGGGGGGGGGGGGGGGAGGTTGGGCTCACCTGAAGGCTGGGAAGAAAACGTTTTTGAGACTTTAAAAAGTGACTGTAAGACTTAAAGCTGATCCAGTTCTGCTAACACTGAGACCTGAAGGGACCTGAAGAGACCTGAAGCGACCTGAAGGGACCTGATGAGACCTGAAGGGACCTGAAGGGACCTGAAGAGACCTGAAGAGACCTGAAGCGACCTGATGAGACCTGAAGCGACCTGAAGCGACCTGAAGGGACCTGAAGGGACCTGAAGAGACCTGATGAGACCTGAAGGGACCTGAAGAGACCTGAAGGGACCTGATGAGACCTGATGAGACCTGAAGGGACCTGATGAGACCTGAAGGGACCTGAAGCGACCTGAAGGGACCTGATGAGACCTGAAGGGACCTGATGAGACCTGAAGGGACCTGAAGAGACCGGACCCCTCTGGGACCAGGGTTCAGTCTGCTAATATGGAAAATAATCTACAAATATAAAATATATAAAAGTGATAATGACAGGTCTGACTCAGGGTCAGTTTCCTCCCACGGTTAGACTGTTAAAGTCCTGAACTCTGTGAAGAGCATCCAGAACATTCCTCTGCTGCATCTTGCTGATTATTTATCTAATTATCACATTACATGTCACTTGTTAGACGCTTTTATCCAAAGCGACTTACATACTCAATACTGTGGGCAATCCCCACAGGAGCACTTTGGGGTGAAGAGTCTCAGGGACACAGCGACATGCTGACTGCAGTGGGGTTTGAACCTGTGACCCCTTGATCCGAACGCCAACGCTCAACCCACTGCACCACACGCCTCGCATCTAATGAATAGTTCCATTCAAAGCAGCGTGAAAAGGAAGGTCTTCAGTCTGAATTCAAAAGGACCTGCAGGTTTCTGGGAGTTTGATCCAGATGTTTGGAGCTGAACTCCTCCAGGTTCAGTTCTGACTCTGGGACACACTGGAACAAAGGCTGCTCCACAAACAAGTAAATATAGAATAAAAAAGGGGTTTCCGCTTGTATTAAAGGTAGGGTAGGTAGGAACGGAGAAACCAGCTCGAGTGCGCTAGAATTTGAAAGTATGCAGCCGAACAAAATGTGCCCTTTCCTTCAGTCTTCCTCACAGAGCCCCTCCTCCAACACACACGAACATGACCAATGAGGGCACGAGATGAGTTTGTGCCCAGATGGAAGGCTGACAGGCAGGTAGGCCATCCAGTTACTTTAGCCGGGCCGGCTAAAATGATTGGTCGTGCTTTTTACAGTACTACGGCTTCCACAGATGAGATGTTTTTATGTATTTATTGTCAAAGTATTTAATGTATTCATTGCTATCGGGACGTTAAGAGCATTCCATGGAATATAACAAGTGTTTCTGAAGGGAATTGCCTACCCCACCTTTAAGTGAACACATCTGCAAATAGAACAAGTACAGAATGGCTTGGTGAGATTTCTTGAAGTAAAGATGTGATATTTAGATAAATGACATCTTGTATTTAGCTGGGAACTTATTTTGAACTATATTTGACCAGAATTAGGGAATTTGTTACAGAAAAAGCCAGAAATGCTCAGACGCTGTCTTCTGATGTTAGATGGAGATTTTCTTATCAAATAAAATGTTCTTAAGAGACTTTGACTAAAACAGATGCGCAAGATGCCTTTACTAAACAAAAGACTTATGTTACCAGGTCTTATATCGAGTGTCACCACGTATTCTGACTAGAAGTTAGAGGAATATACTTGGCATGATTTTTCATTTGCAGACCAGAAGACCTGAGAGTTCTGGACGGTTCTTTTTGTAGCAGCAGAACAGACTTCAGTGGGTCTTCTCCTCATCTCTACTGTAGCTGCTGAGGGTCGAGGCTGGAAACCTGATACATGGAATAAAAGTCTGAAAATATGTAATCCAGACCGAGGTCTAATGACCGGGGGGGGGGTCCTCAGAGATCACCGCTCTGAACTCTGGGAGTTTGTGCAGCTGCGCCCCCCCCCCCCAGGGTCACTCAGTTCTCTCTCTGGAGGTCTGTCCCTGCAGAGGAACCTCATGTTTTAATAACCCTCAGAAACTCTGGCGCTCACCCTGTGTCCGAAAACAGGTCGCTTGTAATAAGTAACACAATCTGCCAATAGAACAAGTGAACATTAGCTTGGTTAGATTCCTTGAAATAAGAAGGAATATTTAGATAAATCAGATCTTGAGATCAGCTGGAAAACTCATTTTGAACTATATCTGACCAGAATCAGGACATTTTGTTTTACAAAATACGCGTGAAATGCTCAAAAGATTTCTGTTTTCTGATGTCAGTTGGAGATTTATTTGTTAAAGCAAGATGAACCATCTTTGACTAAAACCAGCAGCTTAAAGAACTTCTTTAATTTGAGATACAACTCAAAATAAGATGTATCAAGAGTGGAAGATGCATTGTCTGAAAATAAGACCCTCTATCTCACTGCAGTGTTCCCTCTTCTTCTATGTCTGATATCAGGTGTAGACATATTCTGACTAGATATGAGACACATATACTGGGCAAGATTTAGAGTTTTTACAGTGTTATAATGATCAGAATCAGATCTATTCTAAGAAAACTATAATAACATGAACAAATATTGTATAATATAGCAGTATTTACATTTAAATATAATTGGAATACGATAATACTAATAATGATTCAAGGCTTTTATTGTCATGTGTACAGAGCTACAGTGTAGATATGTACACATGACAATCTGAGGCTCCTCCAACAGAGCAACACAATAACACAGATAATAGTGCAAGGAGAGTCTACAAGTCATTGGAATATTGATATATATAAGTTGCAAACAAAGTGGTAAAAGTAGTGATTTTCCTATAATAGACTCAGCTGATTGGTTCAGACGTCTCTCAGCTGATTGGTTCAGACGTCTCTCAGCTGATTGGTTCAGACGTCTCTCAGCTGATTGGTTCAGACGTCTCTCAGCTGATTGGTTCAGACGTCTCTCAGCTGATTGGTTCAGACGTCTCTCTGCTGGACGCTCGTCCTCATTTGTTAGATTTCATCATAGCGTCTCTGACCCGTCTCTCCCCCCCGCGGTTTGTCCCCAAAGGGCCTCTGTACACCTCTCTTCTTCTGCACATATATTCCTGTAGTATATCTCTCTTCTTCTGCACATATATTCCTGTAGTACACCTCTCTTCTTCTGCACATATATTCCTGTAGTACACCTCTCTTCTGCACATATCAAGTAATGTTAGCAAGTAGTTCAACATAAAGCTTTGGGGATGAGTGGTGTAAACATTAGCTAATAATAATTCAGGTAAGATCTAACTGTAGATGTGTCTTCAACCAATGAAGGACAACTATTATTAAACTTCACGTTCAAGTCTCACAACAGATGTAACACCATGAACCTCATGAACACCATGAACCCATAAACTTCATGAACACCATGAACACCATAAACTTCATGAACACATGAACACCATGAACACCATGAACCTCATGAACACCATGAACACCATGAACCTCATGAACACTGAACACCATGAACACCATGAACCTCATGAACACCATGAACACCATGAACACCATGAATACCATTAACACCATGAACCTCATGAACACTGAACACCATGAACACCATGAACCTCATGAACACCATGAACCTCATGAACACCATGAACACCATGAACACCATGAACACCATGAACCTCATGAACACTGAACACCATGAACACCATGAACCTCATGAACACCATGAACCTCATGAACACCATGAACACCATGAGCCTCATGAACACCAGGAACACCGTGAGCCTCATGAACACCAGGAACCTCATGAACACCAGGAACCTCATGAACACCATGAACACCATGAGCCTCATGGACCTCATGAACACCATGAGCCTCATGAACACCAGGAACCTCATGAACACCAGGAACCTCATGAACACCAGGAACACCATGAACACCATGAACACCATGAACCTCATGAACACCAGGAACACCATGAACCTCATGAACACCAGGAACACCATGAACACCAGGAACACCATGAACCTCATGAACACCATGAACACCAGGAACACCATGAGCCTCATGAACACCATGAACACCATGAACCTCATGAACACCAGGAACCTCATGAACACCGTGAGCCTCATGAACACCATGAACACCATTAACCTCATGAACACCATGAACACCATGAACACCATGAACCTCATGAACACCATGAGCCTCATGAACACCAGGAACACCGTGAACACCATGAACCTCATGAACACTGAACACCATGAACCTCATAAACACCAGGAACACCATGAACCTCATGAACACCAGGAACCTCATGAACACCAGGAACCTCATGAACACCATGAACCTCATGAACACCAGGAACACCATGAACCTCATGAACACCAAGAACCTCATAAACACCATGAACACCAGGAACACCATGAACCTCATGAACACCATGAACCTCATGAACACCATGAACATCAGGAACCTCATGAACACCAGGAACACCATGAGCCTCATGAACACCATGAACACCAGGAACACCATGAACACCATGAACACCAGGAACACCATGAACACCATGAACCTCATGAACCTCATGAACACCATGAGCCTCATGAACACCATGAACCTCATGAACACCATGAACCTCATGAACACCATGAACCTCATGAACACCATGAACCTCATGAACCTCATGAACACCATGAACCTCATGAACACCATGAACCTCATGAACACCAGGAACCTCATGAACACCAGGAACACCATGAGCCTCATGAACACCATGAACCTCATGAACACCAGGAACACCATGAACACCATGAACCTCATGAACACCAGGAACACCATGAACACCATGAACCTC